TGAAACAACCTCTGGGCTGATCTAAGTCAGGGCTTGGCTAACGCACAGATTAAACCCTGAAACAACCTCTGGGCTGATCTAAGTCAGGGCATGGCTAACTCACAAATCGAACCCTGAAACAACCYCTGGGCTGATCTAAGTCAGGGCTTCGCTAACTCACAGATCGAACCCTTAAGACAGTCTCTGGACTGATCTAAGTCAGGGCATGGCTAACTCACAGATCGAACCCTTAAGACAACCTCTGGACTGATCTAAGTCAGGGCACTGCTATTCTCATACATGTCTTAACTTTAGAATCATCCACTTTCCATTTCTTAGTAAGAAGAAAATCAAGTATGAGTCTAAAAGTGTTYGTACTGCTGTGTCTCGCCCTGGTGGTCGTGATCATGTTGGACCAAGCAGAGGGCGTTCGTTGCAGGCGAAAATGCAAAGTGTCTTGCAGGGTGAGGTGCTCATACAGACACGGCAGATTTAGGTGTAAGCCACATTGCGGATTGCACTGTAAGGTTCAATGTCGTGGCAGGGACGAAGCCGAACAAATGGTAATTATAATCGTCTATCCTATTTCATTAAATAACTGGCTCAATGTTTTATTTATTTAGACAGGGAGGTAGGATTTAGTGTTGTAAACTCGCGTTCTTATTCTTGGTTTTCACCTACGTCATCATGAATTTCAAAAGCGTAAATTCGCGTTATAATGAAATAGAAGTTTTATATTCTTTTAAAGTGGTCCAAACTACATATTCTGGCCAAATTTTACAGTCAAACAAGCTCGCGCGTTGACCCCTAGAGTCGATTAATGATTTGAATTTTCGAATTTTGATTTTATTATTCAGTTGACATTTACAACGTCGAAAACGAAGATATGAAAATTCCAATCAACTTTAAATTCAATATACGATATTTTGATTGGTTAATCAGTGCTAACACTGGAAGGCCAAGAAAACATGGCGGCCAAAAATAGTCTTGGCCGTGTTTATGTGCCGGGAAAGCCTTTACCTGATATTATTCCACAGGAAATTGTTGATCTCAGCAATAGCAAATTGTCCAATAAAGCAATTTCGCGACAACAAAATTTCTAGTTGGGGAGTCCAGAAAATGCTTCAACATTATCGACGACATGGAACTGTGTGTCCATTTCGCTCAAGGCGGGAGCGTTCCCTAAAACATTACTGATGATATCCTTCAAGTAATTGAGACATGGAAATTACAAAACCTAGTGTTTATCCTTATGAAATAAGAGAAAGACTTCTACTCGAAGGTATCTGTAATTTAGATGATTACCTTCTTCATCACGAGTCAAATAATGGACTGAATTTTCATTTGAATATTGCAATATTGCATTGTTCCGGTTCGTACGTATAAAAGGAATAATTGACTAATGATTTCATCAATCGAATCTAGGGGTCAACGCTTGAGCTTGTTTGACTGTAAGGCCGTAAAGCATTTCGTTGCGGAACTATAGGCGAGTAAACATGACGCAATTTTTGGTTAAAATGTATGGAGCGGCCATCTTGGTGTTCCAAGTTGGTACACCATCATGGCGGACGAAATTCCAAAGGCTTTAAATGATGGAATATTTAATATATTTGACTATATTTCACTTACACATACTTTAAATACATATTTTAAACGTGTTTAAGGGAAAATCTTCCAACTAAAGTAAATTATTTTAATATTTTCATCGCTATTTAGATAGACGTGACG